GTCGATGATGCGCTGCTTTGTCGGCCTGGTACACCATCTCCTCCGCCTCCTCCTTCTGCTGCTCCAGCTGGTGCTCCAGTTCATTCCGCTCCTCGAACAGCCTCTCGCGCATGCGCCGGGAATTCCTCCAGCGAGTTTAACTTGCTGGTCAGCATCTGCACATCGGACGTGAGCTCCGCCTGCATTTTCTTCATGTCGCTCTGCAGCTTTTCTGAGGTCTCGCGGCACTCCTGCTGCTCGCGCGTCGCTGGGCGTCCAGGCCCTCCAGCCTCTCGGTGAGCTCTGCCAGCTCGTCCCGCTTCTGCTCCAGTTGCAGCTTCAAGAAGCTGATGACGTCGCCCAGGTCAGCCGTCAGCTGCGTGTTGCGGCCAGTCAGGTCGTCGTTCGATTCCTGCAATTTGGTGCACTGGTGCGGCAGTGCTCCAGCTTCTCCGTCAGGTCCTTGACGGTTGATCTCGAACAGCTCCTTCGTGACCTCGGTCATGTCCTTGACCTTCTTCTCCTTCTTCTTCCCCCTTCTTGCCTTCTTTCCCCTTCCTCTCTTCTTCCCCATTGTTGATTACTTGGTGTGACACCAATGTGCGCCTGAACAATGGTTGCCTCCGTTTGAGCGCGGCGCTGCCCCGACTCCAATCACATCGCACAGCTTGTGCCCAGTCCCTCAGCGCCCCCCGTGCCTGCCCACGGCCACCGACCGACCGACTGTGGGCCGACACTATGCACGGCACACTCCAAAAGGCTGGCTAATCCAATCGTTTCCATGACAACGCCTCCCGAAGCGCGCGTGAGGCGTCTAGGGCGGCGTAAGCACGCTTGGTTGGTGGTATCGATGCGAGCAGCAGCTGCTGAGCCGTGACTGCCAATTGGACGGCGGCCCGCCACAGCCAACGCGCTGAGCCCCTGAAGTGGCGTGAGTCGGCACCGGCTGCCAGGCGGCAACTTCCGGGAAGTGGCGAACGCCGCCCCGTCTAAGAACCCGCCGAATGTCTGACCATCTGAGGATGAAAGATCTGGTCCACTGTGTCAACTCGTGGTCGATTAATTAAATTCAATATCGGAGCATGATGCCAAATTATCCAGTGCTGGTAACAAATTCAAAGCCGGTTGCATGACTCGATATCACACCTAGGGAAGTAGTAAAGTGACGCTCGCCAAGAAATAGCCCGCGATGGCGTGTGAAGGAACCTGCCAAGGATACAAGTTTGCACAGAAATGAGCTGTTACACAAGATAAACTTTGACCATAACGTACTATTGGATAGACCTTCAAGACGTGGAACAGTTGATTTGATTATAGAAAAAAGACTGGCGCGAAGGGCACGTTTTCTCGTACTTCGACGTATGAACCGTGCCGACGTGGCGCCCTTCGTCTTCCGTCAGAAAGAAAAGCGGCCAGGAAGGGGCAGAATCCTGCCCGTGGTATGGTGAGGCGAGACTTTTTTATTTAACTTTCACCGCCGGTGCAATTGAAAATGTGTGCTTTTGCCCTAACCAACTGACTCGCAACTGAAATAGACAACGGCGCCGTGGGGGGGGGGGGGGGGGGGGGAGGGGAAGCAATATTAAACTCATGAAAGGGATCGGCGTCAAGCGAAATGGTGGTGGGATAAACAAAGTAAG